AACCGCAACATTGTGACTAGGGTGTGGTACAATCCTAATCCTTTTCCCTCTTGTTGTCCACTCTTCTTCCTTCTATGTTTTCTTTCTTTTCTTCATTTATGTTATCTTGTAATTATTTTCATGCTCTCAGTGAATGGCTCACTTAAAGTTTTAAAAAGACCACACCACCAAAATAGTATAGCCACAGTAAATATAAAAAGGAAATTTATCAACATGTATTTAAAATATCAACTATGTGATATTCCACTCATTTATCAAACACACTTAAAATATTAGCTATTCTAAGTTCTAACTATATTGATGATAGCTTGATGAAATTTTTGTTACATTAAATTAAAATATGTTGACGTATGGTGTATCTATTGGAGTACTTTTTAATGAACAAATCTTACACACAAGCGCGTGCAAAAAAAAAAAGAAAACTAAAAACTTCTCAAACCACCTTGTAGCTAAATAAGGGACCTGTTACAAAATAAAAAAGGAGGTCAGAAACATCTCTTTTAACAATAGGAGGTTTACTTGTTGATTTTCATTTTGTTTCCGTAACTCCACAAAAAATATCCTAAATTGCCCCGTTACTTGTTGTCTTTTACCCTTTTAATGATTTTTACGGGGTTTTAAACCCTTATAAAATATAGACAAAATTATAGATACAACCATAATTTGTATTTTCTAGGCATTATTCCCCAACTCTTTTGATACACATTATCAACGCCAACACTATATTATTTTCTTTGAAACCACCCCCAAGTAATTTTTTTGGACCAAAATGGCTCTCATTTTAACCCATGTTTCCAAGCATGACACAATATGTGTCAGTTCAGCACAAAAATGTGTTGGACTGGCTTATGTTGTGCTGGACTGCCATAGAGAGAGTGGCAAATGTGGCCAGAAAAAAGGGTATTTTGGTCCAAAGAAGTAAAATTTTGTACTTGGGGTTGGTTATAAAAAATTTAAAATTAAAAATAATAATAATAAATATATATATATATATATATTTATTTATATATATATAGATATTAAGATTAATAGTGTGATATTAAAAGTGTTGAAAGGCAATATCTAGAAAGTACAAATTGGGAGTTATCTATAATTTTTTCAAAAATGTATTCCCTTAAATCAAATGATATGTCAATAAAGTAGTTGTTTTTCTAAAGAGTAATGATCCTATGAGACCCTCCCACACCTATATGTGTAGGATCCCAAAAGATTACCATTAAATTTGGCACGGATCTCTAAAAAAGTTATCACATGGGTGTGGGACTTGACTTTTCTAGAGATCTCTACCAAATTTAATGGAAATCCTTTAGGGTCCTACACACATAAGTGTGGGAGGGTCTCATAGGATCATTACTCTTTTCTAAAATACTCACATAAGCACTTCTTCAAATTTTGTTCGAAAATATAAAAAATGCTTATTCTTCTTTCGTAACATGAATAAGAGAGGGTATTTTGATAATTTCAACATGTAGATTACCCGAGTCAAATGACCTAGATAACCTAGCTTATTCCAAGTTTTAAACTCGAAAAAAAAAATTTCATTAAAATATTGATTCGAGTGTGGAACCTAGTGTAAGAAGGGTATTTACATCTTTTGGCTCACATATGACTTATGTAGGCCAAATTATTAAAACACCCCACTTGTTACTAATACAAAATTACGAACACATAATAATATTCAATTAAAATACTACCTAAGTATTCCCTTTTTTAGTTAGTTAAAAATATTGCCTGTTTGGAAAACTAAAAAGCATGGGCTTTTAAGTCATTGGGATGAACCCGACTCTTCAGTCGCTCTCACTCGTTTTAAGCTAAGTGGCTAATAAGCCCAATAATTGAGTTATTTTCAACTAAATTATCGATGGGTCCCTTGACTAAAAATCTTTAAGGGCGACTCAGTGTTATTTTTCCCAAAACAAAATGCTTCCTGGATATAATAAAAAAAAGGAAAAAATATCTTCATAGACCCTAATTTCGTATATGATTTCCTATTAGACCCACATATGTAGATTGTATCTTGCAACATGAATTTTTTTAAATTTGTTTCTACTAACCCATTAAAGTCATTGAACCACCATTTATTCTATATTTTTGTCCCAAATAAATTTCAAAATGGGGCCATCTTTCTCTCTCGCTTTTTTTTCTCTCGTTTTCTATCTATGATTTTCTAATTCATCACAACTCCTCTGCTCCCAAGAAGCAAACCAATCCTCAGACTCAAGTGGCGGCTTCTAGTTGAGAAATGGATCTTGTTCTACTCCAAGATTAATACCATGAAGATTCAAACCCTCAATAAAAGGACTCTCCTCAAATCTGTGGAGGCTCATAAAAATTTCCAATAGAGTCTCCACATAAAATTGAGCCTAAGATTAATACTCACAGGGTGCCCTTTACCCAGCCCGAGTTAGTATGAGGTTGAATCCATTCTAAAGCTAAGGCCAAATACCGGAGGGCCTCCCAAGAAAACCCTACCTTCTCCCTATTCTAAGCACGAAGCTTTGATTGCATGTTACGACAAGGATATGCAGATGTGAAAAATCAAGAGAGTATGCAAACAATTTACTACCGAAAAGACCCATCTCATTCTTCATCTCGCTTTCTTGCTCTAGAATTTCAACCAAAGAAAGGTGGCCAACCGTCAAAGTTTTGATCCTTGCAAACATTGGCCAGAAAAGAGAAGAGGATTTGAAAAGGATGGACAAAAAAAAAAAGAGTGGCCTTTTCATGTCTCTCGCTTTCTCTCTCTTTTCTCATTGTTGAAGGTGGTTCAATGATTGAGAACCCAACCATAAAATTTTTTGGGAAAATAAAATTTCTGAGCCTAATTTAGGGCCAAAGAGAGGGAGGGTGGGGGGATTGAAGGGGAGAAAATTAGGGTGAGGGCATGAGAGAGAGAACCAGAGCTTTTTGACCACTAGATTTAGAGAGAGAGAGACAGAGAAAAAAGGAGGGGGAGGAGGTTAGGGCGAGGGCATGAGAGAGAGAGAGTCAGAGCCTTTTGGTTGCTGGATTTAGAGAGAGAGAGACGCAGATGGAAAAGAGCCAAACTAAAGAGAAGGAAAAGAGAAAAACTGGAATGGAAAAGATGGTGATATTTTGAAATTTGTTTGGGATGAAAAACATGGTTAAATGGGTTTAAGGGGTTAGTGGAAAGATTTTTAGAAAAGTTAATGCCTCTAGATACATTTCAAATTTGTAGGTCTATTGAGAAATTATACACAAAATTAGAGTCTATGAAGATATTTTCCCTAAAAACAATTGTAGACTAGAAAACAAGAAAAATCAGGATAGACTCCTGTCATATCAGTCATGAATTCAATGAACTTCATCATACCTTATTTTATTCTTTTCAAATGGAAACGGTGGGAATGGAGAAAGTGATGTCCAATGTCCAAAAAAGAATCCGGGTTTAGGTTTCTAGTTTCTTTTTATTTTTTATTTATTCTTGAAAAAAAGTTTATATAGAACCGAGGTTCTAAATGATCAAATTAGAGCCCACATCAAAAATTTGGCTAGTAGAGGTTGTTTTGATGGCCAAATATCCTCAAATTGATCATCTCAACATCAAGATGCATGAACATGAGAAAAAAAAAAATGGAATTGAAGTTTTGAAAATAGTGTACCTTGTAACGTATTTTTGGACCGTCAATTTTCAAGAGTTTTAAGTTTTTATAGATCTGCTCTATCTAAACTATTTTTTAAGCTTTAAATTTTATAATTAGATATGAAAATAAATTTTAAACTATCACAAAGACTGGTAGCATTGAAACCATATTTTTAGACATTATTTGAATGTAAGCTTTACTGTGATTTTTTACAGCCTTGGCTTTATTCGTTGTCCTTCAAGTACCATTTTTCTCTCTTTTTTTTGGAAAAAAAGAAAGTATCAATAGAATTTCAATTTTCCGTACATCTTACCCCCATTACTTTTTGTATTACACCTTAAACCTCAATACTATTTTTTCTTATATCTTCCCCTTAGTCAAATAGTCAATGAGTTTTAAGACCAAAATACCTTTCGTTGTCTCGCTTCCCCTTTTGAAAAGATTGGTCATGTGCTACCAATTTGTATTAAAATGCACTTTCTCTCTCTACCTCTCTCTCCACCATCTCTCCCATTGTGTCTTTACTCACCCACTATCTCACATTCTCTCTTTATCCATTCCCTCTCTTTCTCTCTCCACCCATGTCACTCTCATTCTCTCTCTACACCAAACGATACAAGGATTGAAAATACGGTCCGGCACAATTGGTGCTGAAGCGATTTTTTTTTTTGCAGTTCGACACAAAATGTGCTAGACCGCTAAAAAAAATTTCACCAAAAGTTTTATGGCAAAAAAATGTGGTCAGGCACAAAATGTGCTAAATTGCAAAAAAAAAATTCAATCTAACACAAAGTATACTGGACTTTTCAGAAGTTTTATGGCTAAAAAATGTGGTCCGATGCAAAATATCAAAAAAGGGTAAATAGGGAGAGAAACTTTGAGAGAGAATAGATAATAATAATAATAATAATAATAAAGGGCATTTTGATATAAAAAAATGGTGTAACTATTTGACAAGAGGTATATACAAGAATAAATAGTATTCGGATTTAAGGTATGATACAAAAAATATAATGTGGGATGTGTAAAAAATTGAAATAAAAAGTACGGGGTACGATGTGTAGAAACTTGAAATGGGGGTATAACTTTCCCTTCTTTTTTTTTCTAAGTTGTAAACAGGCTTCAATATGTTTGTTCCGAATTAGTTTTTTTGTTGAAGGTATTGTACTATGGTAGTGTGAGTGGTATTGTACTATTGTACAAGCCACAACAATGGTGGTGAGTAGCATGTGGCGTGTTACCGGCCCCTTTCAGAGCAAGAGAGGTAAGTGAGGATAAGGGCCCTCAAGGCCCTCTACTCTTTGGTGAAATGGAATCCGAGAGTGGCCCAAGCTCATTTTGATTTGCAATTTTTTTTTATATATATTTTGCGGTGGGCATTGTACATTACACTAACATCGAAGAGTCCGATTGTCAGACAGTCACGGTGATAAAAGATACGATCATGACCTTTTGGTTTTTAGCCTTATTTTGGAGAGGAGTTTTATTTTTTTGGAGTTTTCTATTTCTTTCTCTTGGTTGGTAGAAGAACGCACCTTTCATTATGTTGTTTGCAGCTCTCTCCTCAGTTGATAGATGATATCAACTATTCATGGTGTAGCCAAGAACAATGTATACAAAGAAGAAAACAAGAAAAAAGAACGACTCTAGAAAATCAGGGAGCTCATTGAGATTTCTTATGGGACCCAAAAGCTTCAATCTTTTGTTGGGTCTCGTCTGATTCTTGTGGGAAAAGCACATTGTAAATGCCCCATGAATATTCCTTGATATTCATCAAAATAATTGCTTGCTGAGTTCTTTCATGGAAGCTTGAGAATGTCTGTGCGCACACTGAACTACCCTTTTCAACTGGTTAACAGTGTGAACAACCAGAGGAACCCAATAAAACCCAGGGCTCCAAATCCAACTTTCTCTGTAAAATCTTCGATTCTTCTCCGAACCGATGAAAATACTAATTTACCAGACTCTGATGCCATTGATGGGTCTCTCGAAAGAGGTCTTTCAGGCTCGATTCTTAACCAACTCAACACAGTGGGCATTGTTGGTGGGGTCTCAGCCACCTCCACTCTAAATTTCTTGAAAAGAATTGTCGGGTGGAGTTCTGTTGATGGAGAAGAGACTCTCCCATTTGTTTTATGCAACAATCCAGAGCTAAACAGAGAGCTTTCAAATAGAGAAAGGGGGAAAGCCAGAGCCAATTTTGATTCAGAAGCCATAGTCAAGAAGTTGAGGAGAAAGAGAGAGTTTTTGGAGAGATCAGGAGCTCGTTGTATTGTGATGCCATGCCATTTTTCTCATTCATGGCATAGTGAGGTCTCAGAAGGTTGCTCTGTGCCTTTCTTGAACATGGCAGAGTGTGTAACATCAGAGTTGAAGGAGGCGGATTTGAAGCCAATTGAAGCTGGGAGTTGCTTGAGGATCGGGTTGCTTGCACCAGAGGCCACGCTAAATGCCGGGTTTTATCAGGAGCAACTTCAGAGTCAGGTATAGCCTATCAATGATTATCACAAGCTCTCTCTCTACTACACACACACGGTAAGATTTGAAATCCTAGAACATTCATATTTGTCTCATATTGAGGTGCTCTGGGACAAATGGCTTCAATTATGTGCTTATCAATGGATTTGTAGCTTTTCTATGGATAGTAGTTTCTTTTTACCTTTTCCAGTCCTGTTTGATTTTCTATTTCGACACTGCTTCTCATAAAGAAATTGAGTTTCTTCTCAGATTTCTCCTCAGGATATGTTAAGTGGGTCTTGGAGTGAATTCCGAGATATATATTTTGGCAGTTAACTCACCTGCTGAATATAAACCTCTTGTGCTTATTTGACACTGCTTAAAATCTAAGCAGGAGAGCTATTTGACTGATCTCTCTCGTTGAAGGCTGCTATTATCATTGAAACTCTTTGTTGTTTTGCACCTGACGACACTATAATTGATCCATGGTGGCACTGGCGAGTATATTCCTATTCTACAAACATTAAAAACATGTCAGCTTAGAATGATTTATAGTGCATATTGTGGCTTATTAGGATTTGTTATAGCTCGTTAGATTGTATGGGTTAGCCTTATTGATGGTTTGTCTTCCACCCACTGTGCATCCTTTGCAGCTAGGTTATTCAGCATAATTTGTTGAACTTTGAAATCCATGTGCAAAGAATATGTATTGTATCTAGGAATATTCGCTGCCTTATAGCAGTAGTCACGAACTCAAGATGTTTGCGCAATTCCATGTTGTGAGTATAATGACTCCTTATAAATAAGTGAGTGGGTATCCATGTGATATCTGCTGGTGTTAGCCAGGTATCTGGAGGGTGAGGGTTATGAGTGCTGCGAATTCGATTTTGTTTTGATTTCTGATTACACAAAAATTGCAGCACAAAAAACTTAGGGTCATTGAAAACTATTATGATTACCAAATTATCTGATACCTTGTCAGTTATTGAGAAGTTTCAGAATATATATATCCTTTGCAAAAGAAAACAATGAATCCTTATGGCCTATAAATACATGCATCATGGCTTTATTTTTGAAACGCCTCAAGATAGATAAGTACAGACTTTATCTAACAGAGACTGTATAGTTATAGAACCAACCTTCTTCCCTTCTACTACAGCTTACCAGCTCATAAGATACAAATACATACACATTTAAAACTAATTAACTCTTTAATTTTCTTGTGCACATCTCAGTGTCTCCCGAGAATGGGACTTTCCTCGCTGACAAATTGAGAATATGATGCAAATAAAATTAGTGTTATTTTAATTTTTTTGTTTTATTATTCTTTTGTTTATTTTTCTTAATAATAAGAATTGCGCAGGGATAATTAGGTGGGCATGACTTTATTTTGTGGTTGAATTGATATTGATCAATTGGGTTAGTTGGGTTCGTTAGTTTCTAAGAAAGAAAAATGTAAATAGGAAAAGGTTAAATCTAAGGGGAGTTTATCTTTTCAAGTAAGGTTTTGCCTCTAGGGGGAGACTTTGAATAAAACGTGGGCTATGAAGCAAATCTTTTTGGCACGTGAGGTTAAGAAATAGGTTAAGTGAGAGAAAATAGGGAGGAGAGAAAAAATAGGAAAGTGTTTATCTTCTTGTTTAGTCTATTTAAGGGAGATATCCCTTCATTGTAAATTGGTGAATGAGTTAATAAAATTTAATCTCGTGAAGAGATTATTTTGGGGTGGATTCCCTTGTAGATCTTTGAGAGATTTGGGGTGGATTCCCTTGCAGACCTTTGAAAGATAGTATATTCTCTCGACTTTTTTTTTTATTTTTCTAGTTTTATTTTCTCCCTGCATTAAGTGCTATCAGAGCAAGTTAAATCTGAGCAAGTTAGATCTACAGAGAGCAAGTTAGATCTAGAGAGATCCGGTTTGTTTTACAATGCCACTAGAAGTTAATCAAGCTAATCCTGCTCTTATGGATGATCGTTGGGTACAAGCTATAGAAAATTTGACTAAATCCCTAGAGGAGATAAATCAGAGGTTGCAGCAATTGGAGAACAATGTTCCCCCTGAAGAACAGGGTATACAACAGTTGCATCAGAGGTTGCAACAGTTGGAGAATAGTCTTCATCGTGAAGAAGGTGCTCGCAACCACATTGATCTTGCACCAGTAGTCCCACGACGAACCTAGGGTGTAGATTTCGAGCATAATGAAGAAATTTACAGGCCAGATCCGCATCTTATAGAGCGACCACGAGATTTTAGTATCAAAATTGATCTCCCAAAATTTCATTGTCAAGGGTGCTCATCGATTGCAAATGGTGCTTCTTTGGAGCTGGACCCATTCCTAGTTAGGAATAATCAGCTCAAACTCGTATTCAACAATTACTCTTGGAACACAGTCGCAGGCGAAGAGTCTTACATCAGTCTTGAGGAAATTGAAGAAAAAGTACCGAGGCTCATGGTGGGACGTCATCACCAACTTTTGAGAAGGCCCTTAAAATATTTGAGTTTGATAAGTTCGAGGTCGAGCTTCTCCCAAGGGGAGAATGATGCAAATAAACTTAGGGTTATTTTAATTTTTTATTTTATTATTCTTTTGTTTATTTTTCTTAAGAATAGGAAGTGCGCAGGGATAATTAAGTGGGCATGACTTTATTTTGTGGGTGAATTGATATTGATCAATTGGGTTGGTTGGGTTGGTTACTTTCTAAGAAAGAAAAATGTAAATAGGATAAAGTTAAATCTAAAGGGAGTTTATCTTTTCAAGCAAGGTTTTGCTTCTAGGGGGAGATTTTGGATAAAACGTGAGCTATGGAGGAAATCCTTTTGGTACGTGAGGTTAAGAGATAGGTTAAGAGAGAGAGAAAATAGGTTAAGATAGAAAAAATAGGGAGGACAAAAAAAATAGGAAAGTGTTTATCTTATTTTTTAGTATATTTAAGGGAGATATCCCTTCATTGTAAATTGGTGAATGAGTTAATAAAATTTGGTCTCGTGAAGATATTATTTTGGGGTGGATTCCCTTTCAGACCTTTGAGAGATTTGAGGTGGATTCTCTTGCAGATCTTTGAGAGAGGGTATATTCTCTCAACCTTTTCTTTTTATTTTTCTAGTTTTATTTTCCCTTGCATCACAATACAAATGATATTCAATAAGCATCGTCCACAATCGAGGAGCCCAAGAACTATTCCACAAAGGTCCTAAATCCTCTTAGCAAATCCCTGATGCTCCTTTATTAAACTTGCATCATAGTAGCAAATGCCCAACCGGTTATGCTTCTTTCTTCCACATCAGACAAGAATTGGAAAGTCAGCTATTTTGTGGATGGGCTTGAATAAAAATCTTGGCTTTACATAACTAGCCAAAGTTATTCTCCATTAGAGGAGCCATCGGAAGCCTTCTAGAACAATCTGACCCAAGAAAATCAAACTAAGCCAAGAAAACCCGTTGTCTAAATTCTTAACTCATCTCCCCACCCGCTTGATGCAGGGAGAAAATATCAACCAAAATAATAATAATAATAATAATAATAATAATAATAATAATAACAAAAAAAACAAAAAACAAAAACAAAAGACAAAAAACAAAACCGGTTGAGAGAATAAACCCTCTCTCAAGGTCTGCAAGGGAATCCACTCCAAAAACAAGGTCTACAAGGGAATCTACTCCAAAAACAAAGTCTGCAAGGGAATCCACCCCTAAAAAGATCTTATCATGAGATCAACTCTCTCTGATCATTCTCTAATCTGTTTACAATGAGGGACCTCTCCCCTTTAAATAGACTTCAAAACAAATAAATAAAAAAAGGAACTCTCTTTTTAACTTTCACGAAATTTTCCCAATTTTCTCTCTCCTCCCTAATTTCTCTCTTCTACCTATTTTCTCTCTCACTTTTTCTCTCTCCCACATACCACCCCTATTTCTCAATCTTTATAATGATCTTCCCTATATCTAACTCTCTTATCTTTCTCCTATTTAAATACCCCTTAAATATCTCACTAAATCTAACTAAATCTTTTAAGCAACTTTAAAATAAGATAAGCTTAAAAGAAAAACTATCTCACGCTACCTTTCCTAAAACCCATTCCTAAAAATATGTATCATTGTCCTCGGTTTGGGAGAAGTTCAACTTCGAGCTTAAAGCGAATCCCCTTCAACAACATGCAGGACTATCTCTTGAAGTTTATCTTCTTCTGGAACTTTAGCCACTTCCTAAACCAAGTGTACTTCCATCCTCTTTTTTGGGCATTCATAAACACGATGCCCTAGCTCGTTACATCGATAACACATGAACTTTGCAATATCCCTTTTCTCTTCATTAAATTTTGGTTGGTGTGAAACCTCCTTCTGCGTGTAAAATCGCTTATCGCTGCTCCCTTGATATTTAGTTTCTACTCGTAAAGCAACTTGAAAAGCTTCACTTAAAGTTCATAGCCGATGTAGAAAAACGCCATCCCTAGTGGTAGGTTGAAGGTCATTTACATGTCGAGCAACCTTTTGTCCTTCCGTTTCGTGGAGGTTATTTTGAGTAACTAATCGATAAAACTCTTCAGTATAATCTTCCGTTTTTTTCTCACTTAAAATCCATTGGCTGATGTAAAAAAAGGTCATCCCTAACGGTAGGTTGAACTCCATTTACATATCGAGCAACCTTTTCTCCTTCCGCTTTGTGGAGGTTGTTTCAAGCAACTAATCGATAAAACTCTTCAGTATAATCTTCCACTTTTTTCTCACTCTATCCAAGATTTTGGCGTTCTTGAAAGAAAATTTGCTCATGATCCACATGAAGAAAATTTTCTTTTAATTTCTTTTTCATCTTTTGCCAGTCAATAATTTTTTCTTTCCCACTACGAAGTCGGGATTGCTAAACTTGTTCCCACCAGGTTGCAGCATACCCGCAGAGCTTGGTAGCAACAAGTTTAACCTTACGTTCCTCTAGCAATTCACTCCATTCAAAATAATTCTCAATTGCACTTAGCCAATCAACAAAAGCTTCAATTTGGAGCTTACCATGAAATTCTAGGAGATCGATTTT